TGGTGCTGGGGGATTGAACCGCGGTCCCTGATGCTTTGCCAAGCTTGTTCTAAGTAGGTGCCTTAGACCACTGAGCCATCTCTCCAGCCCCGGCCCTCAGAATTTCTAACCTGCTTATGGCCATTGTCTCCCAACTGTGTTCTGCCTTGAGTCTCCCATCCCTCTCTCATCCTTCTACAAAGAGAATAGGACAAATTTCAACAGGCTTTCTTGCTGACTACAGAATAAAGTGGGTCTCTTGGCCTGGTGGAAAAAGGAGTTCCATAATCTGGCCCCATTTTACTTTCCACCTGGAATCCTCTATACAAATTCTAGCTTACACTACCTTGTAATCTTGCTACATCTAATCCCCTCCCTGAAACCTTTTACAACTTTTGGTTTCCAGATCTTTTCCCAGCATTCCTTTCCCAAGTCTCATGACCTTCTCCAAAGTGCAGTCCAAATGCTGCCTCCTGTCCTACTCCCTAAAGACTTTCCCTCGGTGAGATAATACTAAGTTTTTCTTTTTTTTTTTTTTTTTCAGAACCAGGAATTGAACTCAGGCCCTTGCACTTTCCAGGCAAGCGTTTATTCAACTGAGCTATCTCCCCAGCCCCAAGTTTTTCTTTTGAGACTGGGTCTTACTATGTAGTTCAGGCTGGCCTTGAACTTGTGATGATCCTCCCATATTAGCCTTCCAAGTGCAGGAATTATAGGTATGAGCCACCACGCATCGAGCCTGACAAGATAACAGTGTGCCCTTGCCACAACACTACAAACTACCTTGCTTATAATTTCATGTTCAGAAAATTGCTCGCCACACCCTCCTTGCCTCTGTACTCCTTTCCCCTCACGACTGTAAGCCTACAGATGGCAGGGACTGGAGTTTTCATGACCACTCTTAAGTCCCTAGAATCCAACACTGTGCTTAATGCTTGCAAAGTCACTGCTATTATCTTCTATTTTGCAATACTGCTTCCTGCAGCTCTGTTTCCTTTGGTAGACTGTAAGCTCTTTAAGGCAAGGGATCATGTGCCTGTTGTACCACTTGGCACCAAGCACAGGACTGTGCAAACAGAAAAAAAAAAGAAAAAGATTCTCTACAAAAAAAATCAGTTGTGGGCTGGGGAAATAGCTTAGTAGAATAAGTGCTGGCCTGGTAAGTGCAGGGTCCTGAGTTCAAACCCTGGTACCACAAAAAAACAAAAAAATCAGTTGTGGTGCTGGGGAGATAGCTCAGCGGTCTAAGTGCCTGCCTGACAAGCACAAAGACCTGGGTTTGATTCCTGGAATCCTGGGTGTGATGGTACATCCTTGTAATCCTAGTGCTGGGGAGGCTGAAACAGGAGAATCACTACCAGCCTGCACTACGTTTCAAGACCCTGTAACAAACAAATAAATAAATTTTAAAAAATTGGTTGCATTGGGGCCGGGGAGATGGCTCAGTGGAATAAGTGCTTCCCTGGCAAGCGCAAGGGCCTGAGTTCAATCCCCGGTTCCGCAAAAAAAAAAAAAATGGTTGCATTGAATGAGTGTCTGAAAGCAGCTCAAACCTAAAGCATCCAAAGATGAACACTTGGGGCCGGGGAGATGGCTCAGTGGAATATGTGCTTCCCTGGCAAGCGCAAGGGCCTGAGTTCAATCCCCGGTTCTGCGAAACAAACAAACAAAACACTGACCAAAAGATGACCACTTAATGTTTTTTAACCAAGTTTTTTTTTTTTTGTATTTCAGGGAGGGGTCTACAGGGTGTTCAGGGTCTCACTACTAGATCAGACTCATAGTAATCCACCTGTTTACAGCCTCCCAAGAGCTGGGATTACAGGCGCATGCCATCACGCCCAGTCTCAATTGCCATCCAGTCTTAACTGCTGTCTCAGCCCGCCCTGGGGATGGAGCCAGCACAGCAGGCCTACAGATCGAACTCGCGGCCTCTGCGCCTGCTTCCAGATGCTTTAATATGCTGAGCTGTATGGTGGCCCTTAAACCAAGATTTCCCTCCTCAGGTTCACACTAACTCTTGGCAGCTCAGTGCTGGGCTCCAGGTAGTAGAAGAAGAAGTTTATATAGATGGACAAAACATATACTCTTTCCAGAAGAGCATAAATATGCTAAATATGTAGCAGTTCACTCTTGTCCAAAGCAAATTCCACGCCAGAGCCTTACAAAGGATACCATTCCAAGCTCTTGACCTGACACAGAGGCCGCAGGTCCTAGTGTCATTGTCCTTTCGTGGCTGCCTGCTACTGAGCTCCCATTCAGATAACAGCTGGAGGCCACCCCCATGTTCTCCACTTAAGAGTGACTTATTTCACATGAAGTCCTCCAGCAGGTTACCTCAGAACTCCTGCCAAATACAAACTGAAACCCTCTGCAGGAGGTGGCCAGCAGGCCAAAGACCAACCTCCTCAGGAGGGAGGAAAGTTCAGGCATTCCAGGTCACCTCTCCTACCAGAATCCTTTCTCCACTTCATAACTGGGCAAGGAAGATGAGGCTGATGGTTGCTCTTTAATTTTCTTTCTTTCCTTTTTTTTTTTTTTTTATAGCCACAGGACTTTCCAATTTTTAGCTGTGCAATCTTGGGCAAGTCCCTTACCTCAGAGGTGTTTCTTCATCTACAGAACAAAGATAATGATCTTTGCTTGTCTCCCTGAGACAGGCTCAAGTAACAAAATGCATGTGAAAGAGCTTTCAACCCCGAGAAGCCTTGCGGGTATTACAGTTATTCACACTACCTGTGCCTACACTCTCATCTTCTTTGATGAAACCCAAGCTCAGAACGGTCACATAGTAGCAATCAGGGTGAGAGCTGGGTCTTCCGAGAGCTTGTTACATGCCAGCCAGTTTAGTAAATGATAGTCACAGGCACAAACGCCATCTGTTTATTCCTCCTCGGATTATGAAAATCTTCTCTGAAAATTTAGTTTCAAGAAATAAAAAGGAGGGGCTCCTGGGAAAAGTGGGATGAATAGTGGGAACATAAATACTGTGTCCCTCCTCCGGTCACTCCTGGCTCTCAGACTCCTGGCAGCGGGCTAGCGACGGCCCGCGGGGGAAGGCGGGCTGGGGCTGAGGCTGGCGCCGTCCACAGACCACCAGTCCCGGCCTCAATGGCCGAAGAAGCGGGTGTCGGAGGGGTGAGGAGCGCAGGGGTGGCGAGGGGGGACTGGGTATTAGCCACAGTGGCCTCTGGCCCTCATCAAGAGACCTGCGAGGGTCTGAAGCCGTGGAGCCGCCTTTCCAGAGCGCCGAGGGTCGGGTCTTTCCCCTATTGGGACCCCTTTCTTCGCTCAGCAGAGTTATGTTTATTTTCTTAACTATAATGTTTCCCAGGCCGGCAACTGGCCCTGGGCCACCGAACGGCCCCCTGGGAAAAGTAGTTCGATTTCGCTTCTGGGCGAGTTCCTTTAGCCGGCTCTGCCAGTGCATCTCCTTCTAGGAAACCTGACATTCCAGAACTTTCCTCAAACACCCCGAAGGTTCAAGTCTCAGCTGCCCCTGTCCTCAGGTGTCCTGCATCCAGCGGACGCACGAGACTGAAAAACTACACATCCCGACAGCCACCGCGCGCATCAGTGCGCAGGCGTAGCCGCGCCTCACTACCCCTCCCCCTCCGCCAACTGCTCCCGTCGGTCCGTTCTCGTATTCCCCCAACAGTTCTAATGTCCCCCAGTGTCTCCTCTGCGCCTCACACTCACCGCTCACTCGCGGCGTCGGGTACAGTCGCTGCGCCTTCTCCAGGAAGCGGAGCGCCCGATCGGGCTGGTTACTTTGGATGGCCTTGAGGGCGATGCTGATACAGCGCTCGGCTTCATCCTTGTTGGATTCCATGGCGGAACCAGAGCGCGGAACCAGGGAGGGGGAGGCCGGGCGAGCAAAGGGCTGCGCCAGGCGCTGGCGCGTCGCGGGGCAGGCCGGCGCACGCTGATGACACAGGCCCTCCGCCCCTCCTTTGCCGAGTTTTGAGAGTTGGGTGAGGCGGAAGCGCTACCGTATGTCTTCTGAGAGAGGGACCGTAGGTGTTACTGGTGCCTGCTGCAGAGCCCTAGAATGCAAGCCTTGGGTTCCGGAAGTCTTCAGATTGAGTGTGCCTGCACTTTATTGGTTATCAACTCTTTGCGTTTGAGGCGAAAGTCATTTGATAATTGAACAGGTATTTACTGAGTATTTACTTTATGCCAGGCACGATTATATGATGGGGTTAGGGCGACAAGCAAAAAGCTCCAGCTAGGGCCGGGGAGATGGCTCAGTGGAGTAAGTGCTTCCCTGGCAAGCCCAAGGACCTGAGTTCAATCCCCGGTTCCGCAAAAACAAAACACAACAACAACAACAAAAAGCTCCAGCTCTCTTGGCGCTTACATTCTAGAGTGCAGAGAAGCTGGGGAGTCGAAGAGATACGTTCAGAGAGTGATAAATGCTATGAAGGGAAATAATGGGAAAAGAAACAGGAATAGATAGGAAGTGCTACATTAAGTAGTTTGATAAAAGAAATCTGAAAGCTCATGTTTTGTTTTGTTTTTTCCTGAAAGCTCATGTTAACACATACCATGAGCAGGCTTGACTGGAGAAAGGGTGGTTCAGGCAGAAGGAAAGGCAAATGCAAAGGCTCAGAAGTGGGAATTTTTGTTATTACGCACTCTAGGAGGAGATTACTTTATAGACAACACAAGAGTCTGCTACAGAGTGAATGCGGTTCTTTCAGGATCCAGCTCTTTCCAGGCTGTCATCCAGTGAAAACTGTCTTGTCGAGATGACCAGTGACCTCCACGTCGCCAAGTACATTGGTCATCTCTTAGTTCTGATTGTGATTGACCATTTGTGTAGAATTTGGCAAGAGGCTACTACAATAATTCAGACCACAGGCAGCTTCTGTTATAATCCAGGTGAGAATTAATGGTAGGAGGGAAAAAGATGGTGGTGGAGGCAGTGAGAAGTAGTCAAATTCTGGATGGAGTTTTGAAGACCCAAAACAATTTAGCAATGCAGTGAATGTGGGAGGTGAGAGAAAGAAAACTCAAGGATGATTCTAGTGTTTTTGGCCCCAGTAACCAAAAGCACAGAATTTCTACATACTAAAAATGGAGAAACGGAGGATTAGGAAAAGAGCAGTTTGTTAAGGAGGAATATTCAGTGTTTGGTTTCGAGTATGTTAAGTTTGTGATGCCTTTCAGAACTGAATGGAGGGGCTGGTGAGATGGCTCAGTGGTCTAAAGCACCTACTTGAAACAAGCTTGGCAAAGCACAGGGACCGCGGTTCAATCCTCCAGCACCACATGCCAGCCAGCCCCGCCCCCTGGTGGGCTGAGCTGGCCACACACACACACACACACAATAAATAAATGTAA